CCCCCCCCCGTTTTATTCTCATGTTCTGGATCTGAGTGGGTTAGGGAAGAAATGAACATCTGCTCCCTATTTGTTTGTCCTTCAAGTTTTGTTTGTTTGGGTTGTTTTCCCTTTATCTGTTGTGTCCTGTCTGTTACCACCTTCTTCAGAGTTGTGCATGGTTGGTAAATCTGTTCAGGGGAGTTGCGAGATAGGTCAGTTCTTTGGGTGAGGAAATTGAATTAATGGGCTTCAGGATGCTCTCGTGAATGACTGCAGGTGTGTCTTCTGGGTAATAAATCACAGTTATTCCTATGTACTACAATAGTTTTTGTAAACAAAGGTACCAGACAATTGTCATTTGAAACGTTTCTATTTCAGAGCCTTGAACTGCTGCTCTTCTTGAATGTATACTGTATAAAGGGTTTTTCATGTATCTTTTTGATTGTTGCCTGCCCTTGCAAGCCCTGATTGCAGAGCAGTATAAAAGCAACAGACCTGTTCCACGTGACAAAGGACTCCGCATTAACGTGGAGCAGGGAGAAGGACTTGCAGAGCTGACTAGAGAGGTTTATTTCTGTTCCTCTACACCCAGAACTAAGGAGTGTGGCTTCTGGTGGCCGGGACTTGTGAGAGTTGTAATTAGCTTGTAAAATATATAAAACGTGCACCTGACTTGTATTGCTGCTATTAACTGTGTGGAAGAGTTCCTAAGACACGTTACACAGTTACATGTACAAAGTTATTCTCAGATCCTATGTTTGTATACAGTGTGACAGCATGGGGTTCTTGTATTCATCAGCATGTTAATTGTGCTATACTTAATGTCAGAGTAGAATAGTTAATTCAGCAGAGGCTTTTTTTCTGATTTTAAAAACAAACAAACAAGCGACTTCCTGGACCACAGAGGGTCTTAAATTAAGACTCATCATTACCCCTGTCATGATGAGGTTTCCTTTATGTCACCTAATAGATATTGAAGGCTCTTTCCCCTCATCCTCCACTTTTTTGAGTCTAATTATAGTCAATACTTTACAACCCGCATCTACAAAAGTATTACTTTGGTAGCTGTATGTCTCCAGCACAGGCAAATCCAAACAGCTTTTGGGTTGAAGCAACTGGTCTGAAATGATTAACCAGCAAAATTGATTAATCCTAGACATAATTGCTTCATGCCTGTCTGTTTCCCATCACTTCCTTCTCCCCCCACCCCCCCCCCCCGTAGTTGTGTATATCTCATCCAAAGGCAGAAGGACACTTAGTCTTTTTCTTTCCTCATTTTACATATTTACACACAGGCTGCATGGGACATAAGCTAAAAAAGGAGAGTTGCATCTCCAGAGCGGTTGGTTTTTGGTTTGTTTTTTTTTTTTTCCTCTTTTTGAATGGCAGAGGTTTAAGAACGCTTTTGTAGGAGCTTGTGGATACAGACAGCCAGTCAACATCTCTTCAGGGCCTGGCATATTTTAAAAATAAATTTACCTGTTGCACTCAAACAGTATCCAACTCTCAGGTGTACAAGATGCTAGAAACTATGGAGAAACAGGGAAGAAAAAAGATGGTACAAATTCTGTATGTCTGTTCTCTTAGGGGAAGTGCATACAACACTGTTTTCTTGTAATGAGGAAAAGAGAGGTCAGTGGTGCTTTGAATGAGCTCTGATCCCAGCTGGGACATTCCCATAGCACTGCTTGGCATTGGTACAGCCGCACTTGTTCCCAGCCTCTGAAAGCTCACATGGCACCCATTTGGGTGTCAGTGTACCTGTGGCACAATTAATCCACAGCCTGGATCTTCCAGTTATAAAGATAACTTTTACAGTCATATATGGGTTCCATCTTGTATTTCTTCTTAGTGTAGAACTTACTCTTCTGTTTATATTTCTCTTGTGCTGAGATAAAAATATGCTTCATGCTTGACTCCATTTTATTCTTTTACTTATTACCCTGCAGGCTTCTGACTGGTGCTGGGCCTGTCACTTAGCTTCTTTGGGTCTTGTTTTTTCTAGTTGTAAACCAGGAATAATTCGACTTCCCTGTTTCATGAATGCCCATTGCTGGGAGTTAGGTACTCTGTCACAAAGGACTGTACTGGTGGCATAATATAGACAAGTGTTATCTTATTGCATTGGAAATTGCACTTGCATAAGTTAGTTTTTACTTATTTATAAAGTCACTTCCATCAACTTTATTTGCATTTAACACCCCCCCCACACACACACACTTAAATATGTTTGATTTAAATTTGAACCTATTAGAGCCCATTTTTTCCTTCAAGGAATATAGACTGACCTCACATATTGCTGCTTTGGAAATAGGTGAATGCTAAAGCTTTAAAATACCTGTAACACTTCAACAGAAATATACATCCTTTTTGAGGAGGAATTGTGAGTTTAGCCTGGGTTCCTGTGGAGATAAGGCTTAGGCAGTTTTTCTGTCTGCTTGTCTTCTTACTCCTTTCTGTGCTCCCTCTGTAACTTTTAAATCCAGTTTGGCAAACAGGTAGAGGTCTCGAGACAACAGCATTTTTACAGATGTCATGAAAAATAGTAGAGGAAAGAGAGGAGGAAACCTATTAGGACCAGGCTGCACTGATGTCAATCATTGTTAGGCACCAGGGAATCCCGATGGGTGAGAGATGTAATGAATGCCCACCTGCAGAAAAGGCTTCATTTAAAGCTTGTATCTCCTGAGTCAGGTACCTGCTGTCAGTCAGAAGACACGAATATGTAGGTAACCAGGCTGCCTTACTTATAGTACTTAAAAATGTGCTTAGTTTTAAATGACCTGAGCTATGGATGTTACTAGAGTAGACAGGTTTTCAACTGATTTGGAGGTGGGGTGGAATATATATATTCCCTTTACTAAAATCTTCATAGTTTGATTGTAGAAAAAACAGAAAAGTACTAATGGATACTAACTGACAAAAGTCATAATGTAGTGGATGTTATTCCAGGTTTTCTAGGCAAATTCAGTCTTTGTATGTTAAAGTAAAGCTTATAGGCATTTAGCTTTTGTCTGTATCTGAAGGTTAATTTGGATCGAGGTGGGCAGTGCACTTCTGATAACTATAGTACTTTACTGCGTGGGCTCTAGTTTGACTGTGTTATGTCTGTTTAACTTCATCTACTTTCAGCTTTTCTGGAGTAACTCCATGTGTTGATGAGTCTGGAGTTATTTAGTGCTGTCTTCTCAGTAATGGAAATACGTTATGTCAGAAAAATGGAAATTAGGCAGGTGATATTTAATTCTTTAGTGACATCTTGCTAGTGATACCTTCAGGGTAATTTCTAGATGTTGCAATTCATTAATATGGGTGGCAAAGTAGCTAGTACGTAACTGTGTTCTGTGTGCTGACATGGATTTTTTTTTTTGTCCTTTTTTTCTTTCAGGACTCCACTGTTGTGACTCCAATTATTCTCAGAACAGATCCACAGGGATTTTTCTTTTACTGGACAGATCAAAATAAGGTAAGAGAAAAGCTTCTTGTCCCAGAATGGTTCTTTCTGCTTTCTGTGGTGTGACGGGCAGGAATCAGGAGGCTTTGCATGCCAGTTCTGGCACAGCAGACAAGCATTACATCAGCGTATGTTCCTCTGCTCTTCTGGGAAGCAAATACAACAGGCCTGTGGCTCATGCCTGGTGCGCAGAATGTGGAGAGATGGATGGAAGACTTCGTAATTTTCAGCCATGTTAATGATCTGATGGCCAGCAATGTGTGTAATTGTCCTGATTTACAGGCAAGGATCCATTTGCGATGCTGTGGTGGTTCATAGCTGGCTTGTGGTTTCTCTGTCTTGCCTTCTGTACACTGAGGATTTGGGCTGTGGTGGGCGGCAGACCCAGAATTCCCAGAGGCCAGAGCTCCCTTTGAATTCTTCCTCCTGAACTGCCGTGTGCTCCCTGGCCATGCCTGGTGAGCCACGTCACTGAGTTCTTACTAATCTCCTAGCTGGACACACACTTTCTTTTAAAAACATTCCAGGATGCTTAGATAGCTATTATGGCTGGGGAGCTGTTGGGAAAGCTCATGGCCTGATTCATCATTGTGTTACTCCAGTTTCACATCTGTGTCACCCCTTGAAATCAGCCCTGTCATGTTTCCAGCTGTTGGAGACTGTGGAGCTGCACCAGGGTGACAGAGTATCAGTACCCTGAGCAGTTTCTTTCATATACCATATCAAACATATAATAGGAAATCATTGTTGCAATTGTTATGGCAAAATACTGTATCAAAACTAGGAACTGAATGAATTCCCCCTTTTTTTTTTTTTTTTTTTTTTTTTTTTACAGATGAATTTTCAAGTACTTATGAAATAAGTGCTTGTACCGGTTCCCTGTTGAAAATGGTGTTAGAACTTGGTAGTGCTTGAGCTTTGGCTTTGTGTTGGAGTATATGCCAAAATGACTAAATACATACTTGTAGTATTCTGGCTGTGAAAACCTGGTTTACCAGTTGTGTAGCTGTTTTTCAGGAGTTCCTGTTGATTTTATGTTTAGATACCAGTGCAAAAATTGCTTGAGGAGGTAGCAACCATTAAAAGTGCAGACTGAACAGGCAACTTGCTATTATGTTAGATCATGTTTATCTTCCTATGTTTGCTTTTTAGAGGAGATGGAGCACAGTTTTGAGTCAGTGTATTTGGAAGTTGTATCATGGAGTTATAATAAAAATCTTGTCTTTGCTTGTGCTTGTACAAGGTTGTGGTGCGTAATAGCAAGTTCATCTGTTGACAGTCCAGAGTTGTTAAATTACTGCCCAAAGAAGCAAAGTGAATGCCCTCAGAATTTGAAGGCTATGTCTGATTTATGCCAGACCAGTACCTATGCCAGAACTCAGTGCAGTCTTCTGTTTTGTTCCTTCCCTTGCATAAACCAATTGTATAAGCTGAAAAATAACAGTGAACTTTGTAATAATAAATGGAAACCCAGAGTTGATTGGAGAGTTTATTTCGCTTTTAGTATATTTGGCACTAAGACCTCCTTCAGTTTCCTACTGTTGTCTGTAAAAACAATGTCTTGAAGCAATTCTGCGAAGAATAGCTATTTATAGAATTGTTGTTCTTGTATTCATGAAAAAAATGTATTTATAATGCTCAGAGCATTTTTTAAAAGGTTGGGTATTTGTACAAGAAACGTAAGTGTCAGTTTGATTTTTAAACTTGCAAATCAAGCCTCTGTAAAGGGCAACAAGAGGGATTTTTTTCTGGTTAATAATTCATGACAACTAGGTGAAGCTTGTTTCTAAACCCCATCCTAGCAGTGTCTATTTAAAGAAAGTAAATATATTTCTATTGGGGTGCAAGAACCAGGAAGGAAATGCCACTTTCTGCTTTTGCAGAGAATGGTTGGGTTTATGTTTATTGTGAAATTACAAATATATTGAAAAAGGAGGTTATATAGGAAATTATCTTCATTTCCTTCTCTTGGTGTAAAGTCATCCTGTGATGACAGTGGAACTACATGAAGAAATAATACCAGGACAATACAATCCCTATGTGATCGCTTTCTCTTTTTTCCCCCTAGTTATTATTTCTTAAGCAATTGCTTTTGTCCTAACCAGGGCCTGTTTTTTTTCTGCATATGGAAGGATAGGCCTTGCTAAACAAAGTGGTGAACTGAAGCCTGCCTGCTAGCATCCTTGGTCAGATGCATTTTACTGGGAGCTGACCAGAAACAGGTGTGGAGATGAGGAATGAGTAGCAGTCATCTTTCTAGCATTTGACTGTCCTGTTACCAGACACTGTGCAAAGCAGTAAATTACTGCCTGGATAATGGTATGGCTTTTAAATTAGGAATCTGGCTCCTTTGGTTGCTGTTGCCTTATCAGTGAAGTTACACAAAAATTATGTGAGTCACTGGGGGGGGAACCAAAAGAAACACTCCCTTGTGCTGAATTTTTATTTAGCTTAGGGAACTGGTGTTTGTAGCTTTTGTGGCTTTAACTTGTTGGCTGATTGAGCTGCTTCTTGCATTGTTTTCCTGTTACCTTCCTTTGCTGTTTCTTCTCTGTTGCAGAGAAAGGAAAATAATATGTACATGTACAATGTAGTGCCTGCTGTCTAGCAGTGTATCTGGACAGTCTTTCGGATTGTTCTTTGTGCAGTCAGAGCTCAACGTTCCTGGTGAAGATACATGTTCGGTGCAGCCCTCTATCAGTGTCACTGATCCCATCCTGTAGTTCTCCATGAATCAGCAATCCCTCCAGGGTTTGCAGCCCAGTCAGTGAGTCTGGATAATGCTGGAGTCGAACAGGTGATGGGTCAAAAAGGCTGCCTATAAAGTCATTCTTACCAAGAAGTTATATATGTCTGACCGGTGTAGACTCTTAACTTGCTGTCCCCTGTAGCTTTCTGACAAGTAAGTTAGTAGCAAATTTCATAGTTTGCTTGCAGGAGCCATATGCTCTGAATAAATCATCCTGCGTCTGTAGTTTCAGTCTCATGAAGATCCATGCCACTTGCATTACACCACACATGAAAGACTGTAAGGATGGCCATTCTTGTGGTATGAGATACCAGTGGCAGCCAGGCCTAGCGGAGCCATCTTCTCATCATTTACTTCTAAGAGCAGGAACAGAACTTGGAAAGAAGGCAAACTGAAGAGGGAGAGAGCCCCCAGAAGCCTGCTTTGCAGCAGAATGGCCATCTGACAACTTACAGGCAAGGCAAACAGTAAACTAATTGCTCAAGATTCCTTCAATGCAAAATAAGTATCCATGTGCCTTGCTTGTTTCTTCATGACTGTGTGTGATTTGACCATTTAATTATGTTTGGGCTGGCTCTGATGTGTCCTGCCCAGTACCCAGGACCAGCACAACTGCTTTTGGATGTTAAAAAAAGCCGTATTAAAAAGTGGGTGATGAGACTTCTCTGTTTGAATGACTATCAGCAGAGTAAAGAGTAGCCAAGGATGAAAATGCATATAGGTTCTTCTGACCACGTGCCATTCCTCTTTGAATTTTATGTGCTCGGTTCACTGCCCATCCTAGTATGGTAATAGCTGCAATGAAGGTCTGTTAAGCAAGTTCATTTAAGCTCTGATCTTACAATTTGGTAATAATAATGTGGTATCCTGCAGTTTGACACACTGTGTATTTGCATATTTAAGTATATTTCACTGTCATGAGTAAAGATAATCCTCCAAAATAGTCATACGTAGCATTTTGCTATTTCCTGATAACAACGAGGAAATCTAAAACCTTTTGTTTTGAACACATGACAAGACAGCTTTCTGATGTTAATTATATTTTTCAGTACAAAATTCTTTTGTTGGTGAAGGTTCTGGAATATTTGCTTCATCTGTCTGCAGAGTGCTGGCTGATTTCATATTATTACTTGAATGATTCTCAACATGGGTTTTAAAAAAGAAAAATTAATTAATGTGACAAGCTAGCGTCTGTTACATATCTTATTGTTTCTGTAATATTCCTTAACTATAGCAAAACCAAGCAATATTCATTGCATTGTCATATTTTTATGACCTGACTAAAACATATCCCAGTTCCTGCTACTTTTTTAAAAATGGAATGCCATTTCTTCTATTTTTTCTTATTCTGGTCATAAGCATTGAAAAAAGATAAATTAAAACTCGACCAGGTGAAGAGAAAGTCTACTAGAGTAAAAAGGAGTGATAATAAAAAGCATTTCTTGGGAGATGAGAAGAGGCTGGAGGTGTTTGGTTTAGCCTAGCTAGCAAAGCCAAGCCAGAGAGAGACTGTGATTTCTGTCTATGCCTAAAGATATCAACAGAAGCATAGGCAGAGTAGGAGAAGAAATATGTATTGTCAGACAGTTTGTGCGTTATAGTTCTTGCACCCTTTAGCTGGAAGTTATGTTACACAAGCAAATGGATGTTAGGAGAATACACTTAACCATTGACTCAGTGCAGTTTTGACACTGCCTAAGAAAAGCAGTAAAGGAAGAAAGCAACTAATTGTTTTTATGGTAGAGCCATTTAGGTTTTTAAAAGTCTGAGGATGGTATAATATGCTGTCCTCTTCATCTCACTAGCATGTGCTGATTTATTCCTCTTTATTTTTAAAGCTAGGTAACTACACTGACGTGGCAGCTTGCTGAAAACACAGCAGATGCAGACCCAGACTCATCCAATGCACCATGAAAAGATAGCAGCTAACAGTCCGTGTCATGAAACTAAATATAAGCGTCCGGTCCCAGGGAGTCAACAGCGATTTCTGAAGCCTTCTGCAGAAACGCTGTTGTAAACAGATGATGATCCCATTTGTCCAAAGGAAGTTTGTGTTGAGAAACTACTGCAAGTGCTGAGGTGATACTTACTCCATAGGAGGGGATATATGGCTGAAGCTTCCCTCCTCTGCTGGTTGCAATTAGAGCAGTAGCACAGCCCAATCAAATGGTTCAGCAAGGAGTCCCCGCTTCAGTGGCTAGCTTGCACAATTCATACCTCAAGCCTTTAAGCGTATTTGGGAGAAGGTGGGGTGATGAGACCA